CCAGTCTCTCCTGCTCTCCGTTTTATTTGGTCTCAATCGATCGGATTACTCTGGTTTACGCTAGAGATGGCCCCGTGATCGATATACATAAATCGGAAATATATTTTGCGTGGTATTTTGAGTTCCGATAGGTTTTAGACATTAAGAAAACACAATTTCTTTAGGTATTGGTATATACTTACAAAATATGTTGCACATCCTGAGGCGTAAGTACCAATTTTTAACTTTCTTAGAAATTAATTATCTGATTAATTATCTTAAAATTTAATTTAAAAAAATCTGAAATGCGTTAATGAGAATTTTAACAACAATCAACGAAGTTTGGACATTTTTTTATAATATGTCCTGATTGTAGGAAATTTATAAATATATTCTTTTGAAATATTAAATATGTGGTTAGTTCCTCATGATATAAAGTCTGATTTAATTATCACTTAGTTCCAAATTATCTTCCATATTCTAAGGCGTAACATCGAATTGTATATTTCTATGTTACGTTTTCCCACCCGCATGGTAAACTGAAAATTGAATTTGAACTCAAAATGTTTCTCCTTTTTTGGGCTTTTAACCTACTTTTGTTTAAACATGCAGACTAGAAAATGACCCTTGAACATTTTCAGAACCTCTTTTGAATATGTAAGTGTGTACCACATATAACTTCTGTGTGCAACTTTTTAGACAAATGATCAAAATTAATATTTATTGGACATTTGGTATTCAAGAGTAAGTTATAAATTAGTTTAAACTATCAAAATGAAGCATGTTTTCCCCAACCCGATTTCCAACTTTCGTGTCGTGTTACAACCTGGCGATTACAGCTCCTCCCTAAATCCAAATCTGCTCCTCCATCACAAGCTGGAGCATTTTGCAACTCCCTAACAAGCTGATGAGACATGAACGCGCGCGCTTAGCAAATTCCAAAATGTCAACGGAAAAATCACATTGTGCGCCATTATTTTTCTCCTCCTTGCAAAGTCATCTGGATGTGGAGATGGAGCTGGAGCAGGCTGGACCTGGCCAAAAGCAGGGACTTGGCTACAGATTCAGCTTCAGCTCCAGCTAATGCAATGCAGTGTCGTCGTGTCTCATAAGCCATAAACATAAATAAAGGCACCTACTCCGGTGGACAGCATTCGAGGTTCGGAGGGAATGGCTCGCCAAAAATGTCACAGCGAAACAACAATGCCGGGGGAGAGCATCAATATTATGGATGGACAATCCGAAAGGGTTCTCGAAATGATGAAACAATACACGAGATCCTTCGACTGTACAATGGCAAGACAAAAGATAAATTCGACTCACGGATATTGGAAACATGGCAGCACAAACTAACAAGGAAATGTGTTATAGTTTGAAGAAAAGGTCACTGATAATGATATTTGAAACATGTTTACCATATAGTTAATACATCGTACATTTTAATATATATTTTACCATAATTATATATCTCCATCAGTTTTGAAACTAAAAGTTTTTCTGTGGTGTAGATATAAAAGATAACTTTCCTAATGAATAAATCTCGGCAGCTTTGTTTATCGACTACCGATTCGCGATCACGAATGATATATAAGCCCAAACAAACTACTGTGCTAATCCAAATCATATCGAATTTCGAACAATTTAACTTTTCTTTAGCTTCTGTTGGTTGGCCGTGTGCATTCCCCTTTTGGGCCCTCAAAAATACCGTCAAGGCTTTTTGTTCGTTTCCAAAAACTCAGTGAACCAAATTAAGTCGAACATGTGTCTGGGAAACAAATTTGAAATGCCGCCGAAGAGCAGCGGCGTTCAGGGCAAAAACAATAAAATTAGTAGTAAGAGTGAAAGGCAAATCAGATGAAGAAGAGTTCCTTAATACCCATGAATCTTCATCTCCGGTCGGAGTTCCAGTCCCAGAGTCGCAGAATTGGTGCCCCCAGAGTTAGGGAGTCGGATCAACTCAACTGGAGCTGAGTCTTGTCTTCCAGACGAACTGACATTCAAATTAAATTGGATTAGCAGCGTTCCCTTGTCAATCTCCCCGAAAACGCGAGGAAGAGGAGAGAATTTCGGGCCGAAAACTAAGAAGAATCTGCACAGGAAAGCGGAGAATTCTGCGCAAATCTCATCTGCACTGACAGTGACATATTTTGTGACAGCTGATGGAATATGCTTTGGAGTTGGGTCCCTGTCCCTCCAAAGACCCCTGATCCATCAAGCCTCGCAGCGCGAACTTTGCCAGTGTCAACTTTATACTGGAAGCTGATGTGTCGGCACTATTTGATCGCATCTCCATACCCATACCCATACCCATCTGCATTTATATCCCCAACCCAGTCCCGATCCTCACATCACATCACATCGCACCGAACTAATCCTTTTCGCGATGACTTGACAGCAGCTGTGTTCTTGAATTTCGCGGTGCCATCAATCAAGGCGGATCGGATGCTGGCCATATATGTACGTACCACGTATGCTATATAAGCTGGATCTCCTCCTTCTGCTCTCGTCGTGCTAATTAGTCACCCGGCCATTCAGTCAGTCAGTCAGTCATTCATTCAACTGATATCAAATTCTTGTTCGGGCTGCTACCGCAAAAGCTCCGGCTCTCTCTAGAGGCCAGTACTTAGTCAGGTCCAGTGATCAATCAATGATGATTAATGCAAATGCAAGGTCAACAAATTGCACAATCTTGCGCTTTCATGCACTCGAAAAAATTAAAGGTGCATCAATTTCCAATACAAATATATTTAAACGAGTATGAATTATTTGATTGTTTACTATTTTGTCTTTAAATATTTTTAAAAAAATTTCTGTAAATAAATATTTTTTGTCAAAATTGTAAGGATGATTTTCTTAAAAGGTATAGCTTAATAGTAACGTTCTTAAACTTTCTTAAAATGTATTAGTACTTAACATTCAGAACTTATATATATAATATATATCTAGGCAATTAAGCGGTATATTTAAAATTAAAGTAAGGAATAGATTTTTATTTTATTTTATTTTATTTTATTTTAACAAATTAAAGCTAGTATATAATACTAAAATTAATATTTACAAAGAAAGAAGGGGCGCTGGAAGCTAAAGTCCTTCGGCCCGGCTGTTTAAGCTAAATTACGATATCTAAATACGGAGATGAACTGTAGTAATGTATTCTTTCAATTTTTTAATGTTTGGTACGGAGGGGGATGTGAGAAGGGAGGATGGAAGGGTGACGGATCCAAAAATGGAAAATCGTGTAAGATTTAAAGCCTGGCAGGTATCGAGAAGATGTTCGATTGAAGAGATAATGCCTCCGCAGAAGCGGCAAGGCGGGGGAGCCAATCCTTGAAGAAGATGTTCGTGGGTTTCCTGTGTGTGTCCGATGCGAAGTCGGGTGTAAATTCTGCGGTCATGTTTGTTGAGGTAGGTAGGAAAAGTTGTTTTTTCGCGGGCTGGGTTTAGTGTGTTGTATCTATGGGTGATACTTTCCCAGTCAGATTTTAGCTTTTCTTTGTTGGTGGATATAATAAGTCTGAAGATGTCTTTGGCACTGGTAGGTGTAAATAAAAGGGTTGGTGCGGTGCTCATAAATCGGGCAGCTGCGTCAGCTTGCTCGTTTCCAAGAATTCCCTGATGGCTGGGGACCCAAATGATGGTTATTTTCGGTGCCTTAAAGCAAATAATTTTCCTTATCTGGCATATTGTGGGATCTGATTGTCCGGGGTTTTCCAGAGCAGAGATGGTGGATAGGCTGTCGGTGCAAATTGCGAATTTCCCTTTATTTTTGTTGGCATATTTGCAGGCCTGTAGGACTGCAAAAGCTTCGATGGTAAATATGGAGTTAAAGTTTGGAAGGGTTCCTGCCGCGATGATGTCATTGTCCTCGTTGACGACTGCGAATGTAGACGATGAATCCGTTTTGGAACCATCCGTATATAGCCAGTTCCTTGCCCCTAGTTGACTTCTTAGAAGACCAAATTGTGCTTGGAAAACTCTGCTGGGTGTGTCACTTTTGGCGAAGAAGTGAAGATCCTTTTTTATGTAGTGCGATGTACTTTTCCAGGGTGGGATGGAACTAACTATAATTCTCGGCTTAGGAGCTGCAAGGCCTATCTGGGCAGCTTGCTTGGCGCATCTGTGAAGGGTTGAGGGAACCCTGGGCGTGCGTGTTTTTCTGAAGCAGGCTTTGAAATCCTTGACCAGCGAGTGATTTGGGCTTGTGAATAACTTCGGTATTAAATTCATGGTGACTTCGTTTAGTCTTTCCAATATGGTTGGTAACCCTGCTTCGGCCAGAATGCATCGTATTGGCGATGTTGGGAATGCGTTTATTGATCTGCGAACTGAGGTATTGTAAGGTGATTGCAGTTTCCTTAGGTGGGTTGCTGCACACCAACCGTAGATTGGGAGTCCATATTCGATTTTGGAGAGGATAAGGGCACGGGTTATATTGGTTAGGATGTTAGGATGGATGTGTGAAAACTTAGAACTTAAGAATTTTATAATGTTGGCACGGACTTCAAGTTGTTTTCTTAAAGTAATACAGTGTTCCTTAAAACTAAACCTAGAATCAAATATAATGCCAAGTATTTTTAAATTTGTAACTGTTTGGATGGTTTTATTTCTAAACTCCAAAGTTGGGAAGCAACAGTGGACTTTGCGACAAATGTGAAGTGTGTGGCATTTTTCTATGGAAAGAGAAGCGCCTGAGGATATTCCCCAAGATTCTAAGTCCTGGAGAATTTTTAAAAACGTATTTTTTACAGTCCTGAGGTTCTTTTCTTTTGTGAGAATTATTATGTCATCTGCATATAAGGAAAGGTTTATTTTCTTGTACCTAGCTAAACGAAGATTTACGTGGTCAAACGCTATGATGAACAGGACTACCGACAGGGGGGAGCCTTGTGGGATTCCGTTAAGCAAGTTGGCCGAAGTTGAAGTCTTGTCGTTGACTCTGACTTTAAAGGTCCTATTCGTCATAAAAGCTTTAACCAGGTTGTAAAGCTTTGGACCAATGCCCCAAAGCTGGAGTCGGGAGAGAACTGCATGTGGCCCCACGCGATCGAAGGCCTTTTCGAAATCCGTCGCCAGGATGGAAACGTGATTCCTGGTCGAAATGGCATTCGACACGAAGTGTTGGATCTTCAGAAGTGCGTCCATAGTGCTGTGGTTCCTTTTAAATGCAACTTGGTTGCCGTTGATCAGGTTGTGGCGGTTGATGAACCACATAAGTCGGAGTGCAATCATTTTCTCAATTATTTTGCTAAGACAGGGTATTAGAGATATTGGGCGATAGCCATTAATTTCTGAGGAGTTGGTTTTGGGTTTAGGGATGGGAATGGTAATGGAAGATCGCCAGGTGTGGGGGTAATTGCCGGTGGATAGCATGGAGTTGTAAATGTCAAGAAGTCTCTGCTTAAGACATGGAGGTATCTGTTTTAGGATGGTATAGGATATTTTATCTGCGCCAGGGCATTTGCCTTTGGCGGTTTGAAGAGCTGCCTCGATTTCGTGCAGTCTAAATGGAGTGTCCAAACTCCGAGCTGTTGGGGATATTGTGGTAGGATTGTATGATGAGGATAGGTAGGATTCTTTAAGACCTATGTAAGTGTTGCTGAAGTTTTCATCAGCTCCGTATTTGGCCCAGATTTCCTTGAATTGTTCTGATATGCTACTGGAGTCTGTTATGAGTGCGTTAGCTGTTTTGATGCATTTTATTGGGATCTTCGGAGAGCCTGCCAGACGATTAATGTCGGACCATATCTTTTTGGTGGTCGAAAGGGGGGAAATACGTGAGGTAAAATTTTCAAGGGATTTCCGTTTTTCAAAGAGGACAGTTTTCTTAAAAATGGCATTGGCTCTTTTATAATTGATAAGGTTTATGGATGACATCTGAGATTTAAATGTGTGGAACAGTTCTTGCTTTGTTTCCCTGAGCTGTTGAAGTTGCGGGCTCCACCATGGGATTTTTGATTTATGTGGTATTCGTTTTGTTTGGGGGATGGAGGAGTTAGCGGACGTTCTGATGTATTTTGTAAGTAGAGCAACCTGATGATTTAAGCACCCGGGTACCCACTTGGATTCAAGTTCGATGCAGATTTGGCCGAATTTATTCCAGTCAGCGAGATCAGTTTTATATTTTGGAATTGGTAGGGTTTTGTCTGGGGAGAATGGGAATTCTAAGGAAACGAAAATGGGGAAATGATCGCTTCCATGCAATTGATCACATATAGACCAACTGCTACGGTGGGCTATTCTGGGTGAAATTAGGGAAACATCAATGTGTGTTATGGTGTTGCGGGTGGAGAGATGGGTTCCAGACCCGTCGTTTAGGACAATCAAGTCAAACGATGAAATGACTCGCTCAACTTTTTTACCGCGGGAATTGGGATAAGGCGAACCCCACATAGGGCTCCAAGAATTAAAGTCTCCGACTAACAATATAGGTCCAGGAAGTTGATTTAGAGCATGAGAAAGATCCGTACTTGAAAAGCCTTGACATGGTGGGATGTACATGTTTATTATAAAAATGGGGTGAGTAAGCTCGACTTTAATTGCAGTGCAGAGCAGGTGGGAGCTTATGGACTTTTGGGAGTGAGGAATTTGCTGTTTTATAAGTATGGCCACGCCCTGTTTAGCAGAGGTATTATGGGGAAAGTTCCAAAAATACCCCACATAACCCGGCGGGCACCTAAAGTTATTAAAGTTATGAGGTAAGTGTGTCTCCTGAAGGCATAAAATGTCAGGAGAGCGTTCGGTTATAAGTAATTTTAATTCGTGATAGTTATTAAAGATTCCTTTTATGTTCCACTGTAAAATGTTGATAACCATTCTAAAGTATCTTAAAGGGAATTAAGGGAAGCTGACGCAGAGTCAGCTACATCCATAGCTGTATCTGAATCAGATGAGTTAGAATTAGATTTCATTTCGCTTAAGAGTTTATCAGCTTCAGATCTAAGAGAGCGACTGTTTTTTAAGCGCTCTTGGAAGTCGGGATAGTTTAAAGAGAGGGGGGAAAGCTCTGAGCGTACACTGTGTACACTTGAGGAGGGAGAGAAAGAGTTCGGTGAGTGATTTGGGTGTTCGAAGTTTTCGATCGTTTTCGTATTGACAGTGCATGTCGTGGGGCTTGTTTGCAGCTTTTGTTTGGATGATGTTTGATTTGGAGAGCGAATCTCAAAGCGTGTAATGGAATTGCTTGAGGAGGGAGTAATTGAGAGAGGTTGGGGTTGAGAGTCTGCTTTGGCAGGCTCTTTGGAGTGTTCGTCGATGTTTTCGTTTATAGTGTTTTCTTTTTGAGTATTACTGATTGTGTTAGGTAAAGAGTTTGAGTTGGACACAGCTTGTGCATAGTTGGGTGATGGATGTGTTGTTGTTGTAGATTGTTGTTTGAGAATCAGTCTAGCTTCTCTTATACTGCACTTGCGTGTAGTTTTGATTTTTATAAGTTCTTTTTGTTGTTGGTATCTTGGGCATGAGGGGGACGAGGAAGCATGATCGCTAGAGCAATTAGCGCACTGGGTACGTGTGCAGGGTTTGGGGGTGTGAGGGGGGAAGTTACATATTTCGCACGTGGGCGTGTTTTTGCAGAATTTGGCTGTATGACCTATAATTTGGCAAGATTTACACCTCATAGGGTTGGGAATGTATTCCCTTACCTTGATAGTGTGCCAGGAGACGTCTAGTTTGCTAGGCAAGTTGTACAGGTCGAATGTTACGAGTATAACACCCGAAGGTTTTAGTTTGCCATCTACTTTCCTAGAGAATTTGAATACGGAGTGTACATTTTGGTCGGCCAGTTCTTTCACGATCTCGTCATCGGGGACATTTACGAGGAAGGGGGCATATATGGTACCCTTGACAAAGTTAAGGGACTCATGGAGTTTGCATTCAATTTCGCATATACCAGCAAGATTTTTTGATTTTAAGAATTTTTCTGCCACATTTTTGGTTTTCACCAGCATTAGGAGGTTGCCATCGCGAAGGGTGGAGATGGATACTATTTCTTTGCTTATAATATTCAACGCGCGGTAAACAGCGAAGCAGGAGTATTCTGAAATTTTCTTCTTGGGATCTTTGGAAGATATAATGATGAATTTGGGGTTTTCTTTTGTTTTTTCGGGAAGTTCGGGGAACTCTTCTTGAAGTTTAACAAAAGGTCTTTTCTTTTTTTTTTTGGGGCTGTCGCTAAGCATAGCAAAGCGATTGTCCCCGAATTTGGGAGGCCCTGAGGCCATGACACAATAACTTTAACTTTAGATTTGTGATCGAAGGCACTTGCACGTGAAAGAATAAATGACCGTTTATAAGCGAAGAACGGTGTGGATCAATCCACGAAAAGAAGAAAGATAAGACACGAGATTAGGCACTGACGTCTGCGCTCGAAGAGAGTTAGTCGGTGACTGGAATAGATTTTTATAAAAACTATTTATATAAATTGTTTACTAAATTTCAAGAACCAGTTCAACTTGATTCAAGCACATCGAGAACATTTTGACCTCAAATATGTCTTTTTCAGAATTATCTGAACATTTGCAACGTACTCTAATGATTTTTATAGAGATTATTTCGTAATTTAGTCAAAATCCGATTTTTTTTGCTTGTTATATATTTTTTTCAGTGCCTTTCCTCCACATGCATCTCTCTTTTTGCAATCGCCACACACATCAATCATTCATTAGCAGCTCAGGCTGTCAGGTTTTGTCGCTCTGGCCGTGATGCGTGATTATAAATCGTGAGATCGCTAGTTGCTGTCGCTTCGATTGCACTTTTGATGGAGCTCCTATCCTTCAATCCCCCGGCCTTCGACCACCTTTCTCCACAGTCTCTCCAATATTTTACGCACTTGATTTGATGCCACATTTGAGATCGAAGAGCCCCTTCCACTGGCAGGCTCATGTTGCAATTGCAATTAGGAGCTCCTACTTGACTGACTCTAAGATAGGCTTAGCTAATTAATTTGATAATTGACTGGACAGTTTGGCGGCATCCTATGATGGACAGTCCTGACTGAAGACCGTATAGAGTTACACGGGATGAAAGTCACAAGATATTCGTTCAAATCGTTAATGGTTTGGCCCGATTTGGTTAAAGAAGCAATCATGGATTAAAAAGTTATTTTACAAGTTTTAGATTTTTAGTAACAATGCGAAATGGAATGATATTTTATAAAAATAAAAGTGTATTTAATTTTAGAAATATTTTTAATGGTTATATCATTAAAGCGAGTGTCATTAAACAAGTGTCTCGACTATCATATACCCCTTTCTTAACTAACTAATTAGATACATGCCTGCCTCAAGGTTTTATAGGAGGAAAAATATAAAATATATTTAAAATTTTTATCATTGAAAATTTGGTCGCCAAAGTTTTGGGCGTTATAGTGGGCGTGGCACTCTGCTGAATTACACTTGCCTTGCGCAAGAATCTCTAGAATCTGCATGCGTTATCCCAAAATTCAAGCTTTTATAGTTTTTGAAATCACAGCGCTCATACGGACGGACAGACTGACATTGGTAGATCTACTCGGCTAGTGATCCTGATCAAGAAAATACATTCTTTAAGGGTTCGGAAACTCTTCCATCCTTCTCTCATCCATCCTCTTCTATCCCTTAGCTTTTTTAAAATTTCTCAAAATATTTTCCACCTTTTGATGAATTCTCAAAAGCGGAGGTATGTTCTATGTGATCCTCCTCTCAATTTATGAGTTGTTTCAATTTCAACAAAAACTGTGTCGTCGCATTTATTTTTGGCGATTATTTATGGATCTGGAGGGGCAAAGGAGAGGAAGTCCCATAGCGGCAATCGAAAGATTTAAATGCTCAACGGTGACGACAATGTCAGAGATGAGTTTGCCCCGATCATCTGCATCTGCCTGCCCCATACCCAATCCATCTATGAGATGTATTCCAACGGCTGAGCGATACAGCTATAGATACTATAACTAATTGCCGATGCCATTTGTTTATAGATAGTGGCTGGCTCGGTTTTCTAGTTTGTTTCATGCTTTCTTTCCCATAATGAAATGTTTTTCGGTCAATTTGATAATGCTGCCTTCTATAAAACAAATTTATGACAGACTCGCGGCGATAAATATGTTAAGTTTTCGTTTTAGTTTTATTTCGACCCCAAAAAGCGACGACCCAATGACGAAATCTAAGGCAAACGGCGGCGACAACTCGCCGAGAAAGATATTTTATAAATAGTGGGTGTCTCGCTCAACCCATTCGATTGGCTTGATTGTGATTTACAGCAATTTGGATATTTATTCAAATTTTCTCCCCGCCATATGTATATACAGATGAGCAATCTGTAGTCGGTCGGGCCGATATGTTTATGTTCGTTTTATTATGTAAAATGCCTTTCACGGCCCATCAACGCGGGCTCATCAGCATTCAAATATGCGGCAATCAAACATCGAAGCATCGAAATCGACACGAGCGAAAAGTCGGCGCCTCTGGATTGCTCGATTTCCCCCATCTCGCTCGTCCCAGTCTTTCTCCAGCACTCCGTCCCTTTCTATCTCTCTATGGGGTGCTCCACTTCTCCAAACCGACTCCCTTTCCTGCCCATCCATTCGATGTTGCACTAATAAAGCCATTCACGCTATTTTCCTCAATTGCATGCAAAATTAATTGCGAAGAAAGCGAAAAGAAAAACGTTTGCCCTAGTGTTAACAGTGGGATGGAGTGGTAAGTTAAAGACTCAAAAAGTTATGATATGTGAAAGAGTTTTAAGTTTCAAAATGGAACTAAATTTCATTTTATCGAGTAATGTCTATACATATACCTTTAAATTTGATTTAGTAAAAATATAATATATTTTTCGAGGTATACAAGTATTTAAAAATTCCATTAATTTGTTCTTTAATGAAAGCATTCTGATAAATATTGGATATTTTTTTGATTAATATAATTTAAAAAAAAAAAAACAGTTTTAATACAATTTTAACAAGTTTGTGAGCATCAAAAATTGAGTTGTTTGAAAAAAAAATTATTTGCATAAACCAACCTACAGGCAAATATTGGTTATAAGTTTTAATACATACATAAACCTCTTGTAGCTTCTTAAAAATCCTGTACAGAGCTCAAGCCAGTATATCTAAACCTACCAAATTCTTAGCAATTATTCTTTCTGCTAAAAATTAAATTGTAGCTCAAGTGACATCAAACAGCTCCTAAGAAATCCAATTGTTTTTGTACCCATAACATGAAGGTTTATTTTAAGTAGTAAACAGAACTGTAAAAAATCCAAAATGCGAGTTTTTAGATTGGCCTTTTCTTTTTTTTTACTACAGGGTTTTACTAATAGGTAAAATTGTTTTTTTTTTCTTATTTTTATGCTGGTTCATTGGAGTTTAGCTCCACTGTACTTGCATCACGGCGCACAGCTTGTTCTCATTTGTCTTTGGAATGGCCTGGTCGTTCGCTTTTGTTTTACGTCTCGCCCTTGCCCAACCGCCTTCTCCGCCCCCTGAAACCCCCCTGAAAAACGCCCTGGAAACCCCTACCCCCGCTGCAGGCACAGATAAACGCAGGCATCCGTCAGTTTTTTAATATTTTCCATTTGTTTTTCACTTGTTATTTATTGGCCCACTCGGCGCTCCCTCTTTTCCCAGTCCATCCTCATCCCCCAGATCTTTGGGAGCCCACCTTCCTAGTTGACAAGCACTTGTCACTGACTGGGGCAAAATTAGCATGTGTTCCCTGGACCTCAGCCCCCCTGCCACCTACCCCTACGCCCATGTTGCCACTGCGGTTGCAAGTTGCAAGTTGCTCCACGGGCAACATTATTTGCTGCGAATATTTTTTGTCGCTCGGTTGCAATTAATAAAAAGTTGGCGCTGTTGTTGCATCTCGCTGCTGTTTCATGTTGTTAATATTTTGTAAATTAATGTTCGATGCAGGAATGCGGACGTTGCACAAATATACATCGTACACATGCCTGCGATCCCTGCAACATGTTGCCGCTGCCCCAAACTGGCCGCCGTCTGCCTTCGAGAAGTTTTTATTGAAGTATAACATTAAATTTGGCATTTCCACATGCAGTATTTAGCACATAAAACCGCACTTTTTTCGGTCACATTTCACTGCTCTTCTTGAATGAGGGAAAGATCATGGTGGGCATTGAATCGTAGATGATTAAGTGGGGGGCAGAAGAGACGGAATCTTATGACTTTATAGTCTCTTAGTCTTTCGATAAATTACATTCTTTTATAAAAATATTAAATCAGTGCTCATGCCGTTGCATGATATGTAAATATATTTTTTATACTGTTTAATCAAATGTTAAAATAGAATTTAGGTATAATAGATTCAAAAAGTATACTCTAGAATATTAGTTATAGGTAAGTTTACAATAATTTTAATCAAAGAAAAATATACTTATAGTTAAGTTACTAATTAGTAACTTAAAGAACCATTAAAAAATTATCCCGTAACCAAAATATAATTATTATAAGGAAAGACAATGAAATATAATTTTAATAAAAACTAACATATATAAAAAAGTTTAAATTATTATATTCTTCTTTGGATTTACCTATTAGTAACTTAAAGAAGCATTTAAAATTGTACCACAGACAAATTATAAAAAACTTTACATTTGGAAGAAAAAAGTTTTTTTAATTGTTCTATGATTATTCAGAAGTATTTTTGAAAGAGTCTAAATTATTCTACCGTTTACACAGTAAATCTCCAAGTATTTTGATTTGTTCCAAAGTAAACTGTTCTATATTAATTTGTATAAAAACAAAATTATATAAAATGTTTCTAAGTTTTATATTGTTTTTTGGATTTACCGATTAGTAACTTAAAGAACCATTTAAAATTATAACTGTAATAACTATTTGTATAATTAATTATAAATTACAATTAAAGTTTAATAAGAAACTTAAAACTATGTAAAGTATTTCTTATTATCATATTGCTTTTTGGATCTATATTAAAAACAGTCTAAATTATTCCATAGTTTTCAGGCTCAAAGCATTTTTATACATTCCAAAGTCAACTGTTCTATATTATTCTTAATAATCCCACGAGATCCACCACAGTCAGTTGTCTATCCAACGGGGCTCGTGTAAACTTTAAACAGACTGACAGTTGAACATGCCAAGAGCATTTCCCACATAACACATGTTACCGTTCTATTTGAATTTTGGAGAGGCGAGAAGAAAAAAATCAAGTCACTAAAATAAATATCATGCCAATTTAACATAATGATTTATTAGTTTATTTA